CTGGCCAAACTGTGTCGGAACTTTCCCCGCCCTCTCCAAGTGCGAGAGCCTGTCCGTGTGGGGGTGTGACTGACCACTGACCCTGAGGCCAATCACTGACCCTGACCTTGGAGTGCTGCCCCCCTCGACCTTCATTGGATGGAATTCTCCCCTGAATTTCTTGTTCCCCAATAAAAGGCCACTCCCTGGCGTGCTCTCTCTCTCTCTCCTGCTAGCCCTGAGTAAGCCTTGCTGCCCCACCGGGTGGTTCGAGGTGTGAGCCAGAGAGGGGAGAGCTGTCTCGGACCTGGTCATAGAAAAAGGTAACTGAGTCTGTGTGTTTTATTTTGATCTCACTAGTTAACTTTTAGGCCATGAACCTCTTCAATGAAACCAGTGTGCTGGTCGCCTGGTGGAAAGAAGGCTGGGACATTCCATCCCTCGTATAGTCTTCATGTGTGTATGTGGGGGATCAAATCCAGCGTCAGATTTTATTTAGAAAATAAGAAAAGGTACATAAAAATGTATTTTAAAATCTTTTATAATTCTAACCTTAGACATGACCACTTATGCTATTTTGGTATATTTCTTTGCAGTTTTTTTAAATATAAACTTTGGTTTTTTTTATTTGTGATTATGATATATATATATATATATATATATATATATATATATATATATATATATACAGATATATAGCTTTATATCATCCTTTTCCTTGAGCAATATTTTAAAAAAAAGAAAGAAAAGAAAGGATGCTAGAACAAAATTGTTAATAAAGTAAATCTGGTCAGTGTCCCACAGGGCAATCAAGTTGCATTTAAAGTCACCTTTTCTAGGGAGGGACTGCGGTTGTAGCTCAGTGGTAGAGCACTTGTCTAGCACGTGTGAGGCCCTGGGTTTGATCCTCAGCACCACGTAAAAATAAGTAAATAAAGGTATTGTGTCCATTTACAACTAAAAATATAAATAAAAGTATTAAATCCATCTTTTTAGAGGACAGAAACCACTGTAAGCTGGATGCAGCTGTGACCTTAGCTACTCAGGAGGCTTAGGCAAGTTTGAGGGCAGCCTGGGCAACTTCAAGAGACCCAGTTAAAAAAAGAAAAAGGAAGCCTGTTGTGCCTCTGTGGGGAGAGACCCATCCGCAGTGTCATGCACCAGAATCAGCCCCCTGGCCTACGGTTCAGCTCCTCCCCTACCTGAGCCACAAAGAGCCTCATCAATAGACTTTCAAAGGTACAAACCCTTATAAACAGGCAGCCCCTGAAACGTGCCCTCCACTGCAAGCCTGCCCAGTCTCTCTTGCCCACTCACAAGTCTTGGACAACTTCTCCCGATGGGGACTGTTTGGCTGTTCATAGCTGCAGACCTTCCCGGGTGCCTCTAATCCTGTACCCTGGATGGCCACAGTGCTTCCCAACATCCTGATTCCCGAGCCACACCCCAGACCATAAAATCAGAACTTCCCTGGGTGGTGTCTGGCTTCAGGGTCTTTTATAATCCAGGGCTCCAGAAGAGCAGCCTCAGGGAAACGGTCTGGGTGCCCGGGGACTGGCCATTGCTGGAACTGTCCACTTCTCAAGCAGCCAAAACCCTGAGCACGTTGATGGGCCCCAAGGAGGAGAGAATTGAGGGAGGGGGTGGAGGGATGGGGATCGGGACAGGGAGCTACGGCTGATTTGGAGTTTGGCCTCCGTGGTGACATGGAGGACATCACTGAGTCCAGCAGACTATGGGCAGTCAGGGCGCTGGATGCTGAAAACCTTCACCTGTTTCTTGTTCTCAGGTGACCTCAGGTAAGTCACCTGGCCTTTCTGAGCCTGTGACAGACACGCACACCAACAGCTAATTCCTAAGGTTGCTTTGAGGGGAAAATGAGGCAGAGTTCGAGAAAGCAGTGACCCTGAGGCCAGGCCCTCCGTCCTCCCTTCAGGGTATCAGAATTCAGGGCTTGCTGACCCCTGCTGGACCTGGGTGTGTTCAGGCCTTTCAACCCCTGATGAGGGAGGACACTCAGAGCCACTCAGGGTGACAGGGCTTTGCCGAGCCCTCCTGGGCTCCCTGAGCCACTCGACTCACAGGGGTAGAGAGGCCTCATGACGAGGAGCAGAGTGGCCACTCGGCTGGCCGCTCTGGGGGCTGCTCCTCCTCCCTCCTTCATGACTGGTGCAAGAGGCGTCCCTGTTCCCACATGTAATCAGAGCCAACTGTCCTCTGATGGCACCCGGGCTGACAAGTTCCTGTTCCAGGTGTAGATGTGCCCAGTGCTCAGAGGTGACCCTTTGAAAAGAAAGGCACTTGGGACATGAGTCCAGACTCCAGCTGCCACCTGGCCCTCGCCCTCCGGCCCCACAAACACCGTCACCTCCCACAGCCACTCTCCCCTCCTTGGCAACAGGGACCGTGCATGCAGGGATCCGGTTCCCCAGCTCTGTGACTGTGTCCTGATGGAGACACAGAGGGCTTCCGCCTCCCGGCCTGGGCCTGTCCCCGCTGCAGGCTTGAGCCCAGGTGAACCTCGCTTAGGTCACTGTTCGAAACAGACCAACCGCCTTGTCAACCACACAGGAACCGGCCCCGGCCCCAGCGCAACTCCCCAGACTCTTAAATAAACCCTGCGCCCCACCCCGCTGCAGACACACCAGGCGGACACCATCCACTGTCCCTCCGCGTGTGAGTTCCCTGGTGGATGCTTCGGGCGGACCACGTGGCATTTGGAGAGCCCAGGACGTGGGGGATAAGCACAGCAGAGAGCCGGCATCGAGGGTCAGGGAGGGCGTCACCTGCTACCCGGGGGGCCTGCAAGGCCGGGCCTCTGCTGAGAGGAGCCATGGGGTGTCTGAGGCAGGGGCAGTCAGAGAGGTGTCAAAGTGGGGACAGAGACAGTGACGTGGGCAGTATTCCCTGCTGGGCCGGGAAAGGCCCGTGAATTCCCTCTCTGCGCCTCTCCACGGGTTATTCACTCTCTGGGGTGAAATGTGATTTGCTGGGTTTCGATTTTTCCTAATGAAGCAGAAATGGGAAAGGAGGAGGAGGAGCAATGGTTTGGCCTCTGCTCAGAGGTGGCAGGGAAGGAGCAGAAGCTGCTGACCTGTGTTCAGCGTCTCCAGGAGCCACCACCAGGGGGCACAGGTGGGGACACGGTACAGCCCCCTGCCTTCTCCCGCCCAGGACTACTTTCCTGCTCCTGGAAGCTTCACCCAGCTAACCAGGGACCATCCCGCTCCAGCTCCAAGGGCAAAAACAGTAGTTCCAGGTACTCAAGAGGCTGAGGCGGGAGGATCACCTGAGCCCAGGAGTTCAAGGCCAGCCTGGGCAACAGAGAGACCTCGTCTCAAAAACACAAAAACCAAATAGTCCCGCAAAGCTCTCTCTCCTGCTGGATGAAGGCCTCATTCCTTCTGTGCAGCTCACTGGTTGGAATCTGGGGTTCAAGGAATGCACAAGTTGGGGGACTCTTCTCTAAGAGGACCCCAGCTTCTCCAACCACGTGAGCCCAATGCCAGCAGAGAGCCACTAGCACTGTTCCCAAACCTGTTTGTGCCAGTTGATTATCATTCTATAATCACATGATTCGATTAGTAAACTCATGAAATAGGGTAAAACAAAACAGAATCATTAAAAAAAAAAAAAAAAAGCTATAGTAACATGGGAAGAAAAAAAAAAAAAAAACAGAATCATTGTCCCCCATCCCAACACCGAAAACCTAAGTTGAACTGAAAATTTCATTGTTGAATTATCTTTGCGCAGGACAATCTACAGAGGGGAGGTCATAATAATCCTGATGAATTTTCTCTCACATTATTTTACATGTCTTCAACACCTCCCCAGAAAGGGAGACTCACGCTAAAAATAAAAGGCCTAAGGGTTGGTGGTATGGTTCAGTGGTAGAGCTGGGTTCAATCTCCAGCTCCAAAAAAAAAAAAAAAAAAAAAGTATATGACATCTGTTATTATTTTTAACTCCCTGCTTTATCTAACTTTGGGGTAAAGCTGATTCCAGTCCGAGCATGTTGGCTAAGTTTCTACTGTACCATGCCTTGAGCCACAGAGGTCACATGGCCCCAGGCTGGACCATCCAGTTCTCTGTGGAATTTCACACCCTGAGGAGACACTGGGATGATGGAAGCCTGGCACTGTCTAAAGGGCTTTAATGCCACTTACCAGCCTGGGGGTTTTAGTCCAGGCTCCCCAAGTCACAAAGTCAAATGGCTCCCATGTACGGAGATACTGCACAAGTAGAAAACAGTGGGTGCACAATAGGGAGTGGTGGAGCCTGTGGCTAACAGAGACAGTCCCTGTCTCAGGCATAAAACAAACCCAAACGCTGAGGGGGTCAAACAAGCCCCTCCTGCAAGCCGAGCCAGACTGTTGGTTTGTGACTCCTGGTGCTGGGGCAGAGGCTGGTGAGGGCTCAAGCCAAGGAGGGTTGGGATCTCCGTCTCCCAGGTTCTGTCATTTTCCCAGATCCAGCTCTTCCCTCGACCCTGAACCGCCTGGCACTGATCACGTGCTCATCTTTTGGTAGAACGACCTTTGCTGCGGACGTCCTAGGCAAAGGCGGCCTTCATCTTCCCGTAGCCCCTCTCCTCCCATGTCCTTCCTTTCACCTGGGGTGATGAAAAGAGCTTTGCATTCGGAGCAGAACGGCTTGGGTTTGAACCCGACTCTGCCACTTCCCAGCTGGCTGCGCTTGGGAAAGTAACTTGGTTTCTCTGGAGCCCCAGATTTCTCATCTGTAAAAAAAAAAAATAAGATGATTGCAAGAGGAGAGGAGGGCCACTGCACGCAAGGCTCCAGACCCTTGCAGGATGTTAGGAAACAGCGGTTCCTTCTGCTTCCCTGCTACTGGGGCCCTTCCCCCCCGCCAAGGCTCTCATCCCCTTTAACCGTATCTCGCGCCACGGCCCCTTTAAGATCGCCTTGGAGGACCCAAATTCAAAATCGAGGGCGACCCTCTAGCTGCTGTCTCGATGGTAAATCCTCACTTCCTGCCGGAAGTGCGTCTGCAGAGCTGCTTACGTCCAGCGGGGTGGGAAGCGAGTAAAGCCACGTGTAGAGGAGACCGGCTGTCGCCTCCTACTGGCCGCGGCACCCTCTGCCACCAGCCCGGGGTCCCTGAGACCCCAGGCCTTCCTCGCGGGGCCCCTGGCACCCACGCCTTCCCGCGGAACGGAACCGAGGAGCCGCGCCCCGCTGAGCCGCTGGGGCCCGGACGATGCCCCCGGAAGTGGGCCCGGGGCGGCGCAGGCGGCCGCGGTGGGTGAGCCGCGCGCGACTGTCCTCTTAAACCCCGCTGCTTTGCTCTCTTCGCAGGGTTTCCGCGGGAAGGGAGGAACTTCCAGGCCCCGGCGGTGGGGTGAAGGCGTGCAGAGACTCCTCCCTCCAGAAAGTGACCTCCGTGTGGGTGACCAGGTAGGTCCAGCGGGGGTCCAGCGTCCGCAGGGCCGTGGTCCGGGGAACGGCGCCTGTGTTGTCGCACCTGCCCAGTGGCCTGTGCAGCCCGTACCAGGCAGCCCCACCCTGACCTAGAGTAAGTCCCGGGAGCCCTCCCGGGTCGGAATTTTGCAGTAACAGGTGTGAGCACTCTGGCAGCCGCTTGGTGGTCATGTATGATACTGCAAACAGGCGGAAGAACTTAGTGGTATTGGACCAGGCGCCATGGGAAGCGTTGGGGATACACAGGTGAAACAGCCAAGGCTTTTCCCGGGGAGTTTCCGGACAGCTGGGGAGATAAAGTTAAATTACCACACTTACGAGGGTGCCATTCCCGGGGCACCGAGGCACACACGCATAGTCCCAGTTACTGGGAGGTCGAGACAGGAGGATTGGAAGCTCACGGCCAGCCTCGGCAATTTGGGAAGATCCTGCCTCAAAGAACAAAAAAAGACTGCATGTAGCTCAGTGGTCGGGCATCCCTGGGTTCCTTCTCCAGTACCAGGGCAGAAAAAAAAGAGGTGGTTAATTTAAGCAGAGGTGAATGTTCTGAAGGGAAGCACAGTATATCTCAGGGAGATGGAGGCTGGAAAGCTTTTCCGAGGATGAGACTTGAGCTGGACTCTGGATAAGTAGGCGTTTGCTCAGAAAGCCTGGTAATAGCGTGTGCAAAGGCCCAGTGGCCTAGGGAGGAGGAACTGGAAGAAAACCATCCTAGCTCAGAAAGCATGCAAAGCCAAAAAGGTGCAGAAGAACCAGGCCACACAGGGCCTTGTGGCTTGGTGAGGGTCTTGGTCTTTGTCCTAGAAATACTGGGATACAGTTAGGTGTTTCGAACAAAAGGAAGGTGTGCATAGATCTCTGATTTCAAAAGATCACTGGATCCAGAACAGTGCTGTTAAACAGACTTGCTACAATGATGGACATTCTCTAGGCTGTCTAGAGTGGCCACTAGCCACAGGACTGATTAAGCATTTGCTGTGTGGCTGGTGTGACTGAGGGACTGGTACAGTGTACCTACCTGATGGCCGCCATGTTGGATGGGGTAGCTCTAGCTCACTTTGGCGGGGAGCAGCGACCCCTTATTGGGGCTCAGGGCACACAGATGTTCCTATGTCTCCTGCACCCTGTCCCCTCCTGGCTAGAGTCAGAGACTGCGTCCAGCTCCAGGCAGTAACTGTTGGTGGGATTTTTAGTATTGAAGCAGCCTCTTCCTTCCCCTGGCTGCCTGCTTTGTTGTCAGCACAGATTGTGAGGTGACATTTTCAGCATGGCATTGTGTCCCATGCCTTGGACAGGACATAAAGAAAAGCGTGGTCCTGGCCAGGCGCACAGCTCGGTGGAGGAGCACCTGCTCAGTATGCACGAGCCCTGGGTTGAGGGTAGACATCAGTAAGTGCATGGGACAACAGGAGGGGGCGCTTTTAAAGGGACCCATCGGTGTGAGACCCCGAGGCAGCCAAGGCTGTTTTTAGCTGAGGCAACATAACAAAGGCAGGAACTGAGAGAGGGCTCGAGGGGACATGGGGAGCAGCGGTGCGTGGGCTGGGCTTGGGAGATGCATGGCCATGGAGGGGAAGGAAAGTGAAGTGGGAATGTGTGGTGGGGGACTTTGCCTGGCAGATTCAGGCTGATTGTGGCTTAACCAGCAGGTTTCTGAGGAATGAAAGCAACAGTTAAAGCCTGATTAAGCAGGATGGGGCAGGACGTCACTGTGATCGCTTTGGTGGTATGTGACCAGTGCTGGGTCGGCCAGCGCCTGAAGCCCTGGGGGGTGGGGGGCGGTGGAAGCAGGGTCTTCACAGGGCAGAACCCCAAGGCATCTTCTGCGTGGCATCCGGGTGGAGGTGGACTGCCAATGTCGAGGGCACTTCGTGGTGCAACAGTTTTCAGTGCTCACACTTGGTGAAGTAGAACAGGAATAATGAGGTGTCCTTCCTTGCAGGTTAGCGTCCCTGGAGCTTGCTGTGTTGGCTGGTGCTCCTGACGGTGGTCCTGCAGGTTCTGTGCTGGCATGGGCTCTTGTGGGTTAGGGCCTCCAGGTTGGTTTGGTTCCATTCTGACCCACGTGTGTGGTGAAGACCTGCTGGAGACGGCTCCACGTGCATCCAAATAAACCAAGTGCAACCCTAGGATGTCTCTTCACCTCTTGTGGTTTCCTTGCGGCTGGGGTGCGCACTTGGCGCGCTGTTTCCAGCTGTTCCAGAGAGTGACTTACACTCGTCACCAGCACAAGTCCTTGGGACACATGGGTGGGTGCTGGGGACACTTCATCCTGCAGGAACACAAACTGTTGAGAAGTGACGATGCATGTAGGGCGACAACCACGGTCCTTGGCATCTGTGGGAAGGATGGCTCCTGCGCACCTGGGTAGGTCAGCATCTTGGTGATCCTCTCAGACCTGGTCACAGCGTGCCGCATCATGGCTACTGCCCCTTGTTCCTCAGGTACCTTCTACCCTGTGTGGGCCTCTTTAGCTCACTCTCCAGGACCTGGATGTCACCTAGGGCACTGCTAGCCTTCTGTAGGGACGAGCAGCTCCCTTGCTGGTCAGTGTCCCTGGAGCTTGGTGTGTTGGCTGGTGCTCCTGACATCTAGGGCTCAAGGGCAGTGGCAGTGCGTGGTCCTGCACCCTCTGTGCTGCCTCCCCTGTCCCTACAACTTCATTCCTCTCCACTCCTGTCCCCAGTCACACTCATCCGAGGAACATTGTCATAGGGATGGGGGGAATGCTTGGTTGTCTGCTATGTGAACGACGCACCTCTGCCAGCCCGTGTTCTGACTGCATGTTTCTGGTTTTGCATGTGGGGCAGACACCTGGCCATTTGGGCTGTTCCCATGGTGGGCCGTCACAGCAACGAAGGTGGTTTGTATGGACCTCTGACCTCACACTGTTCGGTGCAAGGTACCTGCGTGTCCCCCTGCTTACATTTCCTTTTTCTGGACATGCTTATTGACCTGTTGATTTCATGGTCCCTCGCCTGCCCCTGTCTTGTCCACCTCAGCTCTGGAGAATCTGTCCCGGCTGGTCTCCCCCAGGGCCAGGAATAGAATTTCAATACCATGAGATAAACCTTTGGTGGATTCATGGCAGCTGACCAGTAACCTGAAGGACCTGTGGCTGCCCAGAAGAGGCAGGCCCACGTGGACAGTTCCCAAGCCCAGCAGCACTTAGTTTGGGTGACCACAAAGGGCCTTGGCACTGAGGTAGAAGCATCCACATTCCCACACAGGACTTCAGATCCCAGCTCCACACCAGCTGCTGTGTGACCTCAGCAAGTCACTTGTCTACTTGGTTACTTAAGTGGGAACCCTGATGGTGACAATGACTCCCCAGGGGATTCTCCCGTGGCCGGAAGTGAGCAGATCTGGGTCTGGGTGGGACGGGGGCCTGCGCTGAGGCTGAGGCATGTTCTTGCCTTTGGTCTTCTTCCTGCTTTCAGCTGGGAGACCCTCGGCCTCAGGAAAGGCCTGGGGCCTTGATGGGTGCTGTGGCAGCAGGAAGGTGCCCACATTGCCACCGAGGCAGGAAGCTGAGGTCTCCAGGTGCCTGAGTTGTGTTTTGAGACGTGATACATGCTGGACACGGCGGCTCTGTGTTGGTATGTGTGGATGGACCATCTTGATGGCCAGTTAGAGACTCGCTCTGCTGGGGGGTGTTTCCCTGTGTGCAGAGTGTTGGTCCCTCAGTGTCCCCGGGCAGGCCTCTCTGTCCTCAGAACATGAGGTCTGCTTGCGACTCCCTGGAGCAGTGGGTTTGGCCCCTTACCTGGGGGCGCTGGGCCTGGGCCTCTGGCAGTGCAGCTGTCACAGGCCGCAGGGAGCCCGCGGCTGACCCTGGGGAGTCGCTTCCTCCAGGTGACACAAGCTCCTGAGTCCTCTGGTAGGGCTGAGACTTCCTAGGGTACAAAGTGGCAAGAAAGAAGAAGGACGAGGGGAGTGACTGACCCAAGGTAGCCAGCTAGTGAGCCTCCCTGTCCTGGTCTCTCAGCTGAGGTGCCACCCCAAGATGACTTCACCTTGAGCTTCCTGCCTTTCTCTGCGACCATCCAGCGTGGTAGTAGTCTTCATTAGTTTTCTCATAGTCAAGGGCTCCTGTGACCTGGCGTGCTGGGCACCCTGGTGGGTGGTGGGAGGGAGGCCCAGACTCCTGGAGGAGGTGCGAGACACCCCAAGCCTTGAAGGGCCTCACCCATCTTTAGCTCCTGCTGGCTAGGCACAGCTGAGGACCAGTTTACCCCAGAGAACAGATGCATGTTTAAAGTGGGCAGCAGTGTGTCCTGGAGGGGCCTGAGTGTGACTGTTCTTCTGGGTTACATAAGAGGACTGAAGTGGGCAGGAGTCCTGAGTTTTAAAAAGATAGGACGCCGGGCGCAGTGGCGCATGCCTGTAATCCCAGCGACTTGGGATCCTTGAGGTAGGAGGGTGGAAGGTTCGAGGCCAGCCTCAGCGATTTAGCAAGACCCTGTCTCAAAATTGGAAAAATGCACCTGGGTTTATTCCCCAGTGTTAAAAAGAAAAAAGTTTTTTTCAGATCTTAAAGATGACTGTGGGACACACAGGGCTTATATCAGAAAAGAATAAAACCTGAACGGAAACAGTTCTGGTCAGGATTGTGAACTCCTCTCTGTCCACTAGGGGGTGCACGTCCTATACCAGACTGCCCTTTTGAAGCCAAGTACACAAGTTGGGTTTTTTGGTTTTTGATTTGGGGTTTTTTTTAAGCCAAGACTTTTTCTTCATCGGGAAGTTATGTAGAAGATTCATATGCAGGGTGGGGCTCTTGCTTAGGAATCCATAGTTAGCCCCAGTTATACACAGTTCTCGGGAAGTGCTAGTAATGCCCTGGAGCAGCTACACTCTGCTCAGGCATGCGGGGACAAGAGCACGCTCTAGGTGTCTGTCCCTGCAAAACCACTCCCAGTGCCAATTTGTGGGTTACCCACAGGGAAAGTGTCTTGGGTGAGGAATCCAGCACTGCGCATGCCAGTAGATGAAGCCCCAGACACCGTGTTAAGGATTTGCCAGGATCTCAGGAGAGAACGTTGCTTGCATTTGAAAGGCACATATCCAGACTAAGCAGGGTTTGCACAATGCTGCGCTGCGGTGGTGTAGACTGCTGATGGTCGTCCACCAGGAGAGGGCTGTGGCCTGAGGGAAAGACTGACCCTTCTGGAGATGTCACTGAGTACTGGGTGCCCTCTGGGCTGGTTAGGGCTTTCTGATGGATTAACAAATGTGTCACTGAGCACTTGCTGCTGGCTGTGTTAGGGTACAGTGAGCAAATCCAACTCTCCACCCTCAGGGAGCGTCTATCCCAGCACAGGAAGATAGGACCTAAATCAGAATATGTGGAGAAAAAGAAAGCCACTGGGCCAGGTCGGAGTCAGGCTTGTGGTGAGATCAGGCGGCTGGGACCTGTCTGGGAGATGACCTTTAGCAAGGTCCTAAGGTCAGAGTAATTCATGAGGTGGCAGGAAGAGCACCCCAGGCAGAGGATCTTGAATAGGAGACCAGAAGTTTCCCCAGGGCGTCTGGTGGGTCCTCAGGGCCTTGTGGGCAGGAAGGGGGGCTTGAGGTCTTTGAGGAGCATCAGGAGTGCAGACTTCCCTCTGTTCCCATATTGGAGGGGCCATCCTCCCCCAGTAAAGGAGTCATTTGGAAGTATCTCCTGTTCCTGTGCTAACAGGCTTGCCCACTGAGGGGACCCCAGATCCAAGCATGGGGAGCATCATCTCTCTTGGGACAACTGTAGGAGCTCACTGGGCCCAGGAGATGAGTGACATGGGAAGAGTCCTGTGGACATAACAGGTGACAGCTCCCAGGACAGCCCACCTCCACATAAAGACCGTGTCCCTTCACCATGGCTGTGAAGCCCGGGGACAGGGGCATTGGCCCACGTTTCGTCATGTTGCCTTGGCCCTGTGTTTCCACCTCTGCCCCAGCTCCTGGAGGGTAGCAACCCTGTGTGGACTCGGTTTTTCAACAAAGAGTAGATTTGTTTCTTCCCTTTAAATTGTTGTTTTAATTACTAACAGGACTAGAAAAAGCACATTCTGTAATCCTCACAAGTGGAAGCCTGTTTGGGCTTTTCATGGTTCACATAAAACAAATATTTGTTCTGGGTTTTTTTTTTCCGGATCAATTATGCAGCTACAGCAGAAAACTAGTTCTATTATTGCAAATGTAATTACAGTAAACCCGTGAAAGTCGTTGGAAGGTCGCCGTCTGCAGACCGTCAGCTGTGGGCAGTTATGTAATGGTTACGCAAGGCCGCGAGCTGCAGCCGCCAGCTCCGAAATGTTTAGGTTGTTGTGTTGAATTAAAATAAGACTCCCGGCTCTTCCACAGCCGAGCCTCCTTTAGCCAAACCAAGGCGTGGGCTCCAGGGCAGCGTCCACTGACGGCTGTGCAGGGCTGTGCCTACCTGGGAGAGGTCTGTGGCTGCTGGCAAACTTGGTTGTCACCTGATACCAGGACAGTCGTGGGTGAAGCCCACAAATCCACCTTTGCCTGATGTACTCACCGTCTGTGTTCCAAAATCCTGAAGAAGAGGTTAAAGAGATAAGGCTTCGCTCCCCAGCCTGGCTTGCTTTTATTTTATTGTTCTGAGTAAAGGGCACGTAGGGCTCTTCTAGACTCATTTTAGTCCACTTCCTTTCTGATGGGTTTGGACAGAGCTGTCCCCAAGCACCCTTCCCCCCCCACAACCCCCCCACCCCGGGGCCATCAACCTATGGCAGCTTCCTGTTGCAGTCTGCACTGGGGCTGCAGCCCTCACCCTGCCTCCCGTGGAGTGGAGCGCCTTCCCTGCTTCTCTTGTTCTCCCTCCCCGTTTCCCTTTCTGTTTTGTTTCTCCTCCAGCTGGGTTCCTCCCGGTGGCCTCAGAGTGGCTCTGTACCAGGTCAGTCACATTAGGTAATCTTCCATCCCAGTTTTTTCTTAGAGGCATGAAAAGAGACTCGCCAGCCAATTTAATCATGAGCTTGTGTCAAAGTCTTGTTGCCGCCAGGCAGTCAGCACCTGTGATCCCAGCTGCTCTGGAGGCCGAGGCAGGAAGATCACAAGTTCAAGGCCAGCCTGGGCAACGGAGCAAGACATTGTCTCAGAATAAAAAACAGAAGGCCTGAGG